GCTCAGAACCATCCAACTGGCTCAGAACCATCCAACTGGCTCAGAACCATCCAACTGGCTCAGAACCATCCAACCGGCTCAGAACCATCCAACTGGCTCAGAACCGTCCAACCAGCTCAGAACCATCTGACTGGCTCAGAACCATCTGACCAGCTCAGAACCATCCAACTGGCTCAAAACCATCCAACTGGCTCAGAACCATCCAACCGGCTCAGAACCATCCAACCGGCTCAAAACCATCCGACCGGCTCAGAACCATCCAACCAGCTCAGAATCATCTGACCAGCTCAGAACCAACCAACCAGCTCAGAACCATCCAATCGGCTCAGAACCATCCAACTGGCTCAGAATCATCAGACCGGCTCAGAACCATCCGACCAACTCAGAACCATCCGACCAACTCAGAACCATCCGACCGGCTCAGAACCATCCGACCAACTCAGAACCATCCGACCGGCTCAGAACCATCCAACCGGCTCAGAACCGTCTGACCGGCTCAGTGGAGCTGCTGGGTGGTCCTACATGTTGTCCAGTTTTATTCATCACGCAGAATGTTTGTAAAAACAGAGTAAATTCTGAACCAGTATAAACCCAACTCTGAAGAGAAGTCCCAAAAGTAGGCGGGGCTAAAGGAGGTCTGTTTAATGAACCCAGGGTTCAGTCCTGGGTCCAGGTCTGTGTGGTCACTGTGTGTGTGCGTACCTCCTGGTATTCCTTGTTGCGTCGGGCCTTCTCCTGGGCGATGCGTTGCTCAATGGCTGCCAGGGAGTCCGGCGTGAAGCGCTTAAAGCTCTCTGGTCCCATTGGAAACACACAGCCAGCCATCTTCTCATCCTGATCCTGCTGCTAACTGGCCCAGTATACCAGCTGCAGACATAAAGAGAAAATCCTCATTTATATTTATGACATTTAACACGGTCTTTATCGTTACGTTGTTTTAAATTAAAGAACTTCCACTGACAGACGTATAATGTGACGGTTCAAACACCTGTTGAGTTTGAGTCTGTGAGTCATGAGACGAGGAGTGTTTGATTTGAGAGCCTGGCCGTGATTGAACGACTTCTCCACTCGTCGGATGATTGCGTCCTCTGAGACAGCGACCCGCCGCTCAGGATGACCCCCAGCATCACATCGCTCACATTAAACCGCCACTCAGAGCGATTAAAATGCAGCAATCAGCGAGATAAACCGGCTGCGATGGGCCTGACGGAAGATCAATCCCACCTGGACCCTCCTGGTCCACTGAGCCACAGCGCTCCGCCGCTTCTTCTACACGTTTATTTCTCGTCGTTTGAAAGATCAGTGTGAGTTACTTCCTGTTTCAACATGACAACCTTTCATCAACAAAACCAAGTAGTTTAAAACCAACGTCATAAAATCTTGGATTCAAACTGGACTTTTCCAAACTGGACTTTTCCAAACTGGACTTTTCCAAACTGGACTTTTCCAGACTTTGAAACAGCTCAAAGCCTCAGTTCAGGTCTTCAAGTCAGCCGATATAAAACAGCTGGGGCACTTAGTTTGAGCTAATGTAGCTGCTAAACCCTTGTAACCATGAAACTCAATAATAACCACACGATATAAAAACTGATATGACACTAAATAACATAAAAACAGCAGAGCTTTTAAAATAGCAGCCGTCCACTCCTGTGCCCGTTTGCGTAAGCTCTTAGCTTATCGATCTTTTTAGAATTAAGCCCCGTTATATTCAGAAAGTTATCCACAACAGAACGTTTCCACATCCCCAGTTCAAAACACACACAGACAATACTACAGGTTAACTAGCTTACAGGGCTCAAAACCAAATAATAGAGTTAGCTTCAGATAGTGTTAAACAGAGGAAGTGTGTGTGAGACAGGTGTGTGTGTGAGAGAGAGACAGGTGTGTGTTTGGACCATCAGATCCTAATTGAATGATAAGACAGGCCTCGTTCTTCAAGCCTTCATGCATTTATTCTTCACAGCTCCACAATCAGATTGTGAAGTGTTTGTCGGTGTGTGTGTCCACATAAAAGGCCAACCTGGCTCTGTTTTCTGTTCTTATCCGCGGCTGTCATCCACTTAGTCTTTCACACAGTCGGCTACAGAAGCTCCTGATGAGCTCTTCAGACCTGGTCCCATTCGGCTTCAACGCTTTGTCACGTACACAACGTGTTTCGCCGCCATGTTTGTCAGGACGCCACTGAAAACACACCAAGAAATTCACACCTCGTTTCTCCTTATCAACCACGAACTGTATTCTCTAAACCCAAACAAAGGTTTGGGACAAACTTTTGTAATTTTCTAAGCTATGACACAAACAGACTCTTATTTTGGAGAGTATCTAGGAGCATTATTTTGAAACTCCTGGTTCTGTTCTCATCCTGCTTCCTCTGTGACTGAATCCTGCTGAATATCAAAGGTCTGAATAGATAAAGAATGAAGTCTGAGATTCTAAAGGATCTATGTGGCAGGCCATGATGGAAACATAGAAGAAAAGCATGCTGGGTAACATAGAACACCCACAATCTGCTCCGTCACTGGTTCCTATAGCAATTCCCGCCTTTTCTGACCAAAATCTTCTCCGTCACTGGTTCCTATAGCAATTCCCGCCTTTTCTGACCAAGAATCTTCTGTCACTGGTTCCTATAGCAATTCCCGCCTTTTCTGACCAAGAATCTTCTCTGTCACTGGTTCCTATAGCAATTCCCGCCTTTTCTGACCAAAAATCTTCTCCGTCACTGGTTCCTATGGTGTTGTGAATGATTCTCAGTTACTACCACACCAAACAGTAACTGTCCGTAAAACTCACTGAATCATAGAGAATTTTTTAGTTTCCAGCGGCCATCTTGAATTAAGTTAACTCTAAAAATTCAAATGTGGTAGTGTACAAAAAAACAATAAATGCTTTTGTAAGTTTTATTAAAATCCATGTGGTGGTTCATGAGATATTTTACTAACACACAAACACAAGCCAAAACATGATCGCCCTTCTGCTTATATTAGCTTGTAGAGAGTGAGTGGTCATAAATGGGCGGTTCTGTTCTCAATCCATTGTTTAATACTTTGCATGTTCCTGTTTTTAGTTTTCTACATCACTTTATAATCGAGCTGGTTTTTCGCTTCTTTTCCTTTTGGTTACCATTTTGTATTAACTTGTAAAAAAAATAAATTTGTGTGCAACTTTTATGATTGTCTCTTGCTGTTGTCATCACTTTGTTAAATCAGGTCTCTGTTGTAAACGAGTCCTCGAGGCTCAGTGGGACTAACTGTAGAAATAAAGCTTGAATGAATGAATTGTGTTGTCCGTTTGCTTCAGTCGTCTTGGTGCTTTTATTTTGAAAGCCTGTGTGCTCTAGTTGATCCAGTCCTGCAGCTCCTGAACCATCAGCAGCTGGTCTGGTCTTCTCTTTCAGACCACATTCATCTGTTTTAACACCTCAAACTTTTTGTTCCTCCTCCTCCTCCTCTGCTCCTCGTTTTGTTTTCCTGCTCAGATTTAAATTTCCGTCCCCCATGGTGTCCTGGCTGCAGGCCGGGTGAGCCTCTGCAGGTCTTCATGTTAATGATGGAGTCAGAAGCAGCAGATCTCAGAACAGCTTGAGGCTGAGCAGCCCTGAGATCTGCTTTAATGATGTTTCTTCTTGTCCGTGACGTCGTGTTGTTCTCAAACATGCTGCAACTTCCCTCACAGCGAGGCAACGCCGAGCTTTACTTCCACCAAACAAAACTTTTATTGTGTTAGGAAGAGACGGGGATTTGAACTGCAGCCCGTCAGCGTGTCAAAAACAGAAACTGGGATTATTTCTGGATTTAAAAATCTACAACACACTGAGGCCACCAGAAGAAATCATATTTAAAAACCTGGAGGGAAACGTCTAACGTTAAATCGTGTATTAAAATAAAAATTTAACTCGTGTTGGAAAGTCCTAAATCAAATTGTAAATTAAAAACATGTCAATAAAACTATCATATTCTCTAAAAGCAGACAAAAACGTGGGACATAATTTACCGTAAATAAAAACTAAACGAGGCGGCAGTCAGAAACAAAATCAATCAACTCTGACGTTAACGTCATATTTATGTTCAAAACAAATTCAGTCCATTTTTTACTGAAGTGAATCTGAACGTGTCAGTAAAATATGTTCCATGATGGATGAGATATTTTGCTAACAGACAAAAACATTACATGATCGCCCTTCTTGAATGGCAGCAGGAGATAAAAAGCTAAAAGTCTGAAGAGACGCATAAAACGCAGCTGTCCACGATGGTTTCTGTCAGCAAAATATCTCCTTACAGAGCGGGACAGAGACAGAGCGGGACAGAGACAGTGGGACAGAGACAGTGTCTCCATACAGAGCGGGACAGAGACAGAGTGGGACAGAGACAGTGTCTCCATACAGAGTGGGACAGAGACAGAGTGGGACAGACACAGTGTCTCCTTACAGAGCAAGACAGAGACAGAGTGGGACAGAGATAGTGTCTCCATACAGAGTGGGACGAAGACAGAGTGGGACAGAGACAGAGTGGCATAGAGACAGTGTCTCCATACAGAGTGGGACGAAGACAGAGTGGGACAGAGACAGAGTGGGAAGGAGACCCTGTCTCAGGATCGGTCCCATCAGGCCGTCCTCCTGTCGGTGCTCGATGATGAAGAGTCCAAGTCTCTGCTGATCAGAGAAAGTTCTGCTTCTTGGCTTCAGTCAGAGACACAGAGACGGGTTCTGTCCTGGCCCGGATCAGAACACGATTCACCGCCTGCGGGCAGGACGCCAGGACCAGCTGGCAGGGACAGAGGGACCATTTGGATCCAGGATGGTGGATGAGAGTCCATTAGACCTCTGGAGACAGATCAGATCCATCAGGGAGGTTCTGCAGAGCTGGGTTCTGGTTCTGAAAGGTTCCTTCAGTCGTTTCTGTAAAACTTTGACCTTTGACCTCATTCAGACAGTGCCTAATGAAATCCATACATGTGCTATTGTGGCTGTTAGCAAAATATCTCATGGACTAGTGAAAGACAGAGATTCTGGAATATTTGAAGTTAAAATAAGTGAATTAAATAAATTAAAGCCGTCGGGGGGTTTAACTTTCAAACACGACACCTGAAGTCCACGTCTGAGAAAAACCAACTCAGAGCATCGCAGCATCTGTTGTACTTTTATTTTGAAAGGGTTTTTAAGTGGGAACTACGGTCACGGGAGAGCTCGACGTTGAATATATCGAAGAAAAAATTAACAACCAAGTTTGACGAGTGTTTTACATAAAACTGTTCGTCCTTAAAACGACAACTCTTCAACTTTTAGACACAACTAAATTCAAGATGGCTGCCACAGCCAATGACTATCCTCAGCAAACACAAACACTGAGACGCTGCGCTAACATTTGGTGAGGCGGTAGCTGAGAGTCATCCCCTTGTGAACGGCGGCGGGCGATAAGCATTCATTCACGCTTGATTTGACGGTTTTTGGTCCAAAATGTTTTTAAACCAGATCCAGCGGTTGGTCTGAAAATACACAGAAAATATTCAACCTGTGTAGAAGTATGGAAGTACTCTGCAGTAACTGTACTTGTATTTTACTGGATACATCGGTCTTTTGAAGCACAGTTACAGAACCTCCAGGTTCTGGTCCGGCAGCTCTTTCTTCTCAGCGCGTTCGGTTCTGGAGCGGCCCGTCACACTGCGTTGGATCAGTGGGCTGCTGAAGGAGCTGTTCTGGTTTTCATCTCTGACCGGGAGGTTCTGTAGGGCTTCTCAGACTCTACAGAACCTGACCCGGTAACTCGGAGGCTCGCCGCTCGGACCTGGACGACGTCACCCTGAGGTTCTGCTCAGGCCCGTGAGCGGCCCTCTCTGCAGGTTAGCGTCAAGTCTGAGCTGCTGTTCATCAG